CAGTTGGCACCTGAAAAATAATAATAATATGTCTTTTCAAATGTCTGTATACCTTGTAGAACATTATATAGTCTTCTGTCTACACAGTGACTGATGAAATCTAACCCTTCTTCCACCCAGCCAAGGAGAACCAGTTAGACTGCTGAGTGATTTGCTGAAGAGCTCAGGAGGTGCCAGAAGAGAGTCCAATCCCATCTCCTGTTCTCCAGACTTATTCTCTGTGATACCTTTGAGGACAAAACTGAGTCTTGACGGGGATAATGCTACACAGGAGGGACAGACTGTTGCTAATTTAGGAAGACAGAGATGCAGGGGAGGCCCTGATCTTCTCCACTACAGCCAGACTCCCTTTCACCTTCAGCTCTCCAGGACCTAGTCCAGCTAGTTCAAACCCATCTCACCGGATTCCTGGGCTGTCACAGATTCAAGGGCACCCCAAAGGGGATGTATAGTCTGTCATTTTGTCTGAGATTCTCAACTCTAGCATGGCCTGGAAAGAGCACCCCTTCATGGTTTGATTGAATCTTACTTGGGAGAATTTGAGTTTGTTGTCTGTTTGTTTCTCCATTACTTTTCAGAGAGAGTGGAAAGGAGAGAAAGAGAGAGAGAGAAACACCGATGTGAGAGAGACACATCAATCGGTTGCCTCCTGACTGGGGCTGGGCATCAAGCCTGCAACCGAGGTATGTGCCCTTGGCCGAAATCGAACCCGGGACCCTTCAGTCCGCAGGCTGATGCTCTAACCACTGAGCCAAACCGGCCAGGGCTGTTTTTGGGTTTTAACCACATGTAACTTAAGAGCAGTTTGCTGATGCTTTCCCATGGTGATCATAGAGAAATCAAGATTTGGGTCAGGTGGCATGTATGCCCACTCCCATCTATCGCCATCTCTCCCCAAGCTATAGCTGTGGTCCCCAATGTGGCCCCCTGCCGCCTCCTTTACCCCGTACAGCCCACTGTCAACACAGCAGCTGAAGCCCCCTATAGCTTCTCATTGCACTTAGCACGGACTCCAGGCCCTCCCCCTGCCCACGAGGCCGCCCGCGGCCCGGCCCTGCCTTGCTTTCCTAACTAGCTTTGTGCCACCCTCCTCCTCGCCCGCCACTTTCCAGCCCTGTTGTCCTTTGGTTTCTGAACAATTAACCTTAGACCCTTCACACTTCTTCCTTTTGCCTGGAACAATCCCACCACCTTATCTTTGCCTTTCCAGTTCTTTCTTGTCATTTCCATTCCTTATTAAATGTAACGTTTCCCAGAGCGTCCTTCCCTGACCATCCAATCTGGATTAATAGTTCAAGCACATGACTTGGTTTTATTTTCATCTTATTACTTTCTGATGTTTCCTTGTTTAGTTTGATCTGTTTCATTGTCTGGCTTCCCCCTTCCAAACTGTCAGCTCTAGAGGCAGGAACCTTCGGTGTCTAATTCTGCATGGTGTCTCCAGTGCTAGAACACTCGGCTGGCACTAGGACATACTCAGTGTTTGCTGAATGAACAAATGAATGAATAAATGCCTTGTTTTAATGTGGATCAGTCATATTAGAAAACATGTTGGTTTTTTTCCCCATTTGAATTGATTCAGTCATTTCATAAAAAATCTTTCCCAGTTACTGTCAATTCATAGTTTAATCAAAAGTTACTAGGGAGCCAGCTCAAGCTTCAGTCAGTTACTGTGCTAATCCCCTCCCAGGTATAATTCAAATCCCTGACTCAGATACCTGAAAATGTCATTTGAGTTATAATTGCTGCTCCTGGATTGCCTTACTTTACCTAACTCTGGGCTCCAAGGACCCAACACAAGTCCTGTGTCCTCTATAAATTTCCTTGCCCCC